AATCACACTTTGAGAGTCAGCAAACAGGACTGCCCTCAGTATTTTACTATTGATAATATATTCAATCGGCATTGATACCGCATAGAGCTCTGCAGTAAAAATGCTGGCGATACAATCAAGTCGTTGAACCTTGGAGAAGCTTTCAGAATACACAGCACAACCGACAAAAGAGGAGGTCTTGGCACCATCAGTATAAACATGAGGATAACCATCATACTTATTTCGCAGTTCTAAAAACTCTTGCTTAATTACAGCATGGGAAATGCCGTGTTTGTTGAACTTTGCGAGAGACCAGTCGGATTCAACTCGCTGTGTTTTCCAAGGTGGAATACCGTTGACTTTCCGAACGAGGACGACCTGGTCCAGAGAAAGGTTCAGCGAGGATCGAAGATGTTCAATGCGGAAGCTTAACGGTCTTACAATGCTTGATTTATTTTCAAAAAGGCGATAGAACCTTGTGAGGGAAGAGTAAGTTGGATGCTGAGGGTCGGCCAGAATCTTGTAAGCATATGTTAGACTAAGATATGTACGTCGTTTGTTCAGGGACAGCTCATTGGATTCTGCATTCAAACTGAGGACGGGCGACGTCCGGAAAGCTCCTGTTGCCAGTCGCAAGCCGAGATGGTGAACTGAGTCCAACATCTTAAGGGCAGAGGGCCGAGCCGACACTACTGCACCATAGTCAAGGCGGGATCGTACAAGGGCATTGTATAGCTGCAGGATACATTTCCTATCAGACCCCCAAGACTTGTGAGATAAAACTTTCAGAAGGTTTGTCGACTGAAGGCATTTTTGCTTCAGCGCTTTAAGGTGGGAAATAAAATTAAGCTTTCTATCAAATATCACACCAAGAAATTTGTGCTCTTTCCTAACAGGTATAGGAGTTCCATTCAATTCCAGGGATGGATCCAAAGAGAGCCCACGTCGCAAAGAAAAGAGAACACAGACCGTTTTTGAAGCAGAGAACTTGAACCTATTTTCGTCGGCCCACTTGGACAGTTTCTTTATGGCTAACTGCAACTGGCGCTCACAACTAGAAACGTTACAAGACGATGATGAAATCTGTATATCACCAGCATAAAGAGAATATGAAATAGAGGGTGGCAGCAGTTGTGCGAGTGAATTCATTGTTAGGTTAGGTTAGGTTAGGTTAGGTTAGGTTAGGTTAGGTTAGGTTAGGTTAGCTAGGGACCCGCTTTAAAAGATTAGGCAATGGAACGGTACTCTCTAAAACAACTGGATAATGATCACTTCCAAAAGGGTTATGGAGAACCTTCCAAGAGAAGCAAGGAAGTAATGAAGGTGAAGCAATAGAAAGATCAATGGATGTGAATGAGTTGTGTGCCGCACTAAAAAAGGTTGGCTCTCTCCCGTTAAGAAGGCACAGCCCCGAAGACAAGAAAAGACGTTCAATCACACCACCACGGGAGTCTTGACGGGTACTACTCCACATAGGATGATGGGCGTTAAAATCACCCAAAATTAAAAAAAAAGGTTGCGGGAGCTGTCCTATAAGTCCCTGCAGCTTTTGAAGGTTTAAAGGAATGTTAGGTGGTAAGTATAAAGAAACAATTGTTACAAGGCGGTCCAGAAGGAGACGTACTGCAACAGCTTCCAGCGGCGTGCAGAGCGGAACTTGAGAGCAAGCAACTCCACTCTGCACGACCACTGCAACACCACCAGAAGGGGTGGAAGAGGGGCGATCTTTTCTAAAAACCTGATGATGTCTTAAAATATTAAAGGAATTAGTGTGAAGATGGGTTTCTTGCAAGGCGAGAGCGATGGGCCGAAGCTGATCCATGAAATAGTTCACATCATCAATATTTCTTAAAATACCGCGACAGTTCCATTGCATAAAATGTAACTTAATCATCTATAAAAGGTATGTAAATAAGCTACTGAAAAAATAAACCTAATAAAATGAATAAGATTGTAGAGTCAACACAAACTAGGTGGAAGACATTGGGATCATCATTTGGGCGGGACTACAGGCTTCTTATTCTTTTTATGTTTACTGGAGGGCGTTTCCCACTCCCTATTGTCCTGGTCGGACCCAGGAGTGGACAGATTGTCAGCGTCCGTCAACATCTCCACCTCCTGAGAGGTATCCGTTGTTTTATGAGCAGCACTTGTCCGGCCAGGTGTCCGGGGGGGCAAACCCCGGCCACGACCGGCTGGGGGGGGGGGGGGGTTGCAGACGAGCTGGGCGACGAGTCGTCTGAGCTCGTCCGGTCCCCTCCTTTCACAGGAGCTGCATGGGCACCATGCTGCTTCCTTCGGTAGGGGGGCCCTCTCTAGCGAGCAAGAGCGAGAAGTTCGCTCCGTCTCCCCAGCGGGGGACCTAGGAGAGGGGGCAGGCGTGGCTGTTGCCGGCCTGTCCTTGGAAAGAGGAGCAGCACGCGTGCTACCGCCAGGGACTGGAGGAAGCAGCTGCTGCCTCTGTCGGGGAGCTGGGGCCCTGAAGTCGGCCGCCAGGATCTCGGGAGAGACCTGAGTGGCCCTCGACTCCGAGCGTGGTGCAGGGCCCCTGCGAACCACCTCGGCAAAACTCCTCTTTGATAAAAAGGAGAACCGCTTCTTGGCTTCTGGGTACGGTATGTTTTCTTGTGCTTTGATGGTAAGGATGTCCTTTTCTAACTTCCAAGAGGGACATGCCCGATAATAAGCAGGATGTGGTCCACCGCAATTAGCGCAGTGGGCCACAGCCGCCTCGCAAGTATCGGAAACATGACCTTGACTACCGCACTTCGCACACGTCTCCTTCCCACGACAGCTGCGTGTTCCATGACCAAAACGCTGGCAACGGAAGCACCGCTGGGGGTTGGGGACGTACGGGCGAATGGGGCAGTTCAAGTATCCTGCCTTGATTGTCTCGGGGAGAGTGTGCCTTTCAAAAGTCAGAATGACATGTCTCGAAGGAATTTGTTCGCCATCTTTCCTAAACATGATGCGTTTTACGGCGACGAGACCAGCACCTTGGAGTCCCTCGAGGAGTTCTTCCTCACCGGTGTGCAAGAAGTCGTCCTCAGAGAGGACTCCACGGACAGTATTTAGTGTGCGATGAGGGCTCACCGACACCTTCACATGAACGATGGTAGTCAGTTTGAGGAGTGCGTCACTTTGTTTTTTTGTGTTCACTTCCACAAGAAGGTCTCCAGTGTGCTGTTTTTTAGCCTTGTAGGAAAACCCTACAAGGTTTTCTAGCACCTTTGCTACAATAAAAGGTGAGATCTTTGAAACAGGTCTTTGTTCATCCAGCGAATGAACTATGAAAAACTTAGCAAAAGTTTCTACTTCACATTCTTTGTCGATGGTTTTTTGTTCAGGGCTGCGCCTTTTAAGGGTGTGTCCTGAACGGGGTTTGGAGGGGTGGGGCGCCATAAGAGGGCAAAGAGTCTTCAGAATCCGCGGTGCACCGCCCACCACCGAGCCCAACAAGGGGTCAAGTTAACGCACCATAACAAGATGGGCTTGGCTGGAGACGTTACGCTAACAGTGCTGCCGGGAAACTATACCGAAGTGTGGGTCAAGACAGAGGTCTATTGCCACTCAAGGTTAGCCCTTGCCGCCAAAGAGGGGTGAAAAAGGAGCAAAAGAAATGAGAAGGAAGTAAAAGAAACAGGAAAGGCAAAAGCGAAAATCGGAGGGGATAGTAGAAGAAAAGGTGACTAGACTGAATCATCCTGGCCGGGCCTTACCAGGACTCCCGTCTACGAGAAGCGGGGGCCGAAGTGGTGTATTGCCTTACCCGGAGGGCCCCGAAGGGTCCAAACCTAATCCGGGCTCGGCTCAACCACCAGGATGCCCTTTTCCCCGGACACGGGAAAGCCACGCACAGCCAGACGTGGGCGGGCGAACCCGCATGGCTCGGGGTCCGTGGAGACGCCACTCTCCAAACACCCGCTTTCACAAGTGCCCCCTGCGGGGTGCGGTGAAGCGAGCTGCGCCTTGCCGGGGCGAATCGTCAGGCCGGCGTTGCGCAGGCGCTCGACGACGATTCCAAGATGCTTCAGGTGTTCCTCGAAAGTCTGGGAAAAAATAATGACGTCATCCATGTACGCCATGGCGAAGTTATATTTTGTGTCGCCGAGAACGATATCCATTAAACGCTAGAAGCTAGCGGGTGAATTGGAAAGGCCAAAGGGGAGGCGAGTGAATTCAAACAATCCTCTGTGGCAAGTGAACGCAGTCTTTGGCACGTCCTCTGGATCAATCTCGATTTGCAAAAAACCTCGACTGCAGTCCAGAGTGGTGAACACTTTCGCGTTGCCAATCGCGTACATAACCGAGTCGATGTCCATTGGACATCCGATAGATATCCGCTCAAGATATTCGGACGTCCCCAGGAGATCCGTAGCCGTCCGACGGACGTCCCCAGGACATCCGTCAGAGTGCCAAAGGTAACAAATTTGCATGTCCGTCGGACATCCGAAATGGGATCCTTCTGCAGGCCAATTTCAGATATTCGGATGGCATGCCTCAATTCATTCTACTTTAGCCAATATATGTTGTAAACCAGTCAAAGCCCTAACCTGAGCCAATTTCTACAGGGCAGAATTCCTTCGGATATCCCGTGAACATCCGACAGAGATCCGATTCAGATATATCGAACATCCGTGGGACATCCGTATACGTTCGACGAACATCCCCAGGACATCCGACAGAGCGCCAAAGCGAACAAAATTGCACATCCGTTGGACACCCGAAACGGGATCCCTCTGCAAGCCAATTTCGGATATCCCGGGAACATCCGCTAGAGATCCAATTCAGATCCACCGAACATCCGTGTACGTCCGATGAACATCCCCAGGACATCCGACAGAGCGCCCAAGCGAACAAAATTGCACGTCCGTTGGACATCCGCAATGGGGATCCCATTGCGGATGTCCGACGTACGTGCAATTTTGTTCTGCAGACCAGTTTTGGATATGCAGATGGCAAAATCAGTTCTACTCTTGCCTGGATATGTTGTAACCAGTCAAAGGACGACCCTGAGCCAATTTATATTGGCAATATGGTTTTATTACTACACTCGTGTCCTATCCATACAGGTGCTTCTAGTGGCCCTACTCTTCTGATTCATCTCGGAGGTTGGTGTTCAATCTTTACGCATTGGGAAACCATCTTGCCCTGTGTCATCTTGCAGCTGTCTTTTCATGGCCCTAACAAAGAACCAAAGAAGGTATCAGTGTGGGAAATTTCATAGTACATATAGAAAGTACCTGTAATTGTGTAACATACTGTAAGGTGACAACCTCCGGCGTCGGCAGGTCCTCTCTGCACCGTATGGCCCTAAGAAAACAAGTTGGAGACGGTATCGGTATGAGTGAAGGTAAATTTTGCAACACTTGGAAGTTACCTGCTGCTGAGTAGTGTAGTGTAAGGTGTTTGTCCCTGGCATGGCAAGGTCATTTCTGCACCAAGGTGAAGAGATGAGTGCACGCAACTTTCACGCCAGAATCGGAACATACCTGTAGCTGAGTGGCATGGTCTAAGGTGCAACTCCCTGGTGTGGTGGGCAGCCCTTAATTGCTACACCGCATGGACCTAACAAATCAAGTTGAAGAAAGTATGAGTGCAGACAAATTTCACGACACTTTTTAAACCTTTTAGTAGCCGAATAGCATAGTGCGAGGTACTAACTGTTTTACCATAGCATGGCAAAGAACAAACACTGCAGCCCCGCAAGACAGTCAGAGCGAATTGCATCACAATATAGCCGCCGTGCATTCCTCCCGTGGAGTGCTTTCATGTACTTTGCTCTGTCACTTTAATTGGCTCACGGGGGCCATAGCTTTCACCCTAGCCAAGTTATGGTGAAGCGGAGTGTACCATAAAGGCGAGTTCCCACCGGCGATGCGATCTAGTCGCGCGATAACTTTCATCGCAAAAGCGACCATCGCGGGCAAAAAGCGACGCGACTTGAGCAGTCGCTACTCGAACCGACGTTTTTGCGATGCGATCTAGTCGCGGAGCAGCTGAGCCGATCAACGGCGTTCGGAGCGAGAGTTTTCGAGAAACGACTCGCAAACGAAGGCGTTGGACTCGCTCATCGCACTCGCCGGTGTGACCATCTAAATGTTTCGCGATGCGATCTAGTCGCATCGCGCGACCGCTTACATCGCCGGTGGGAATGTGCCTTAAGAGTGGTAACTTGGGCGAGTTGGTGATGCATAACAACCAAAAAAATTGCAAAAACTGGACGAAGGACGAGTGAGAGGAATGTAAGCGACAAGCGCTGACTTGCAACTGAAATTTTAGGAAAAAACATGAAACCCTCGAACCACCAAAACATGAAACACCGCCAATGTTATCAATGTGATTACAATATTGCTTCGTAACATGTCCTTATGAAGCAATATTGTAATCACATTGATAAGATTGGCAATGTTTCGTGTTTTGGTGGTTCGAGGGTTTCATGTTTCTTCCCAATAAAAATTCAGTTGTAAGTGAGTGCCTGTCGTGTACATTCCTCTCACTCGACCTTCGTCTGATTTTCACACTTTTTTTGGTTGTAACAGAGTGTAGTCTTTGCCGTGGGGAGCTCATTCCTACATCTCGTGACCCTAACAAAACCATTTGAAGGGATGGGAGCAGACAACTTTCATTAGGTATATTTTACCATATTTGCCACAGAGTTTTACCTTGAGGTGAATATTAAAGATGCCCATGCAACACTGATTCCATACTTAAAAAATAGGCACTAAATACAAGCCTTTGAACTGTAATTTTGTGGCTAATTACCAAAAAATGTTGCTTCACAGCTCTGGAAACAAATAGGCACATATAACAATGTCCAGACTTGCCTTGTACACGACTTGACTGGTAGTAAAAAATTATAGCACATTCCATGGTAGAAATTACCAGGGGCATTTTTATGGTCCATTGGCTCCGTTAATGCCTACTCACTGGCCTTTCCTGAAAATACAAAAAAATGGGTTCAATAAAAAGTCAAAAATAAACTTATCAAAAGTGGAGTGCCACTCAAATACAAAAGCAGAGCATTTAATGTGCTTGCACACCTTCTTTCCCACAAAACCACAGTAGGCCATTTCATGCCATCTCTGGAGTGCATCCAGTGGACGACGAGGCACCAAGGAAGTGATCTGTGCAAGGAAATTGAACATATCCAGGTTGAAATTACGTTCTTAAATTGCATCATACTGTAAGCCCCGTAATCATCTGGGTGCACTTAGCAGTGATTGGTCTAGAAAGTGCTCTGCAAGAGGGCAGACGTGCATGCATTTTTCAGATGTAGGATATATATAGCAATGTTAATCACGAAACTGCCAAAGAAAAGTGCTGGCATGATGGTGTGCCTTCATGTGTGTGCAGATAGTATATAATCAACATCAGAGTTTATGTATGGTATTAACAACATATATCTGATTAATTGAGAATCTTTAATTTTACTGTGCTAAACACTGTGCACTATGCACCAGCTTGAAATCCACCGTAGGAATGCAAATACGGTGTAGGCGCTCTTTCGCATTGTGCTTCTGCAAAATCGAGTCCAGCACCATACTATGCCCCATGAAAGCACACATTGACCCACCATGATCCACTTCATTCTAAACGCGAGGCTTTCAGCGCCCCCGCTAAGCACGCGCGAGCGTGCAGTGCAAGCAAAGGTTCAGGAAAACATGCTTGTGCTATACCCTGTTTCACCTTATGATGTACCGCAGGAAAGCCTACAAGCTCGAGCTCCTTGCTATAGGGCACATCTCTGCGACACAAGCTATCCTGCACTAAGAGCAGCTTCCAACGCTATGAGCTCGCGCTTCTAGCCTTCTCCGCGGTACAACATAAGGTGAAACGGAGTATAGTAGCTTCGGCTTCGTTTGCACACGAAGTGAAACAAACATTAGTAGCTTCGATCAAAGCCATTCATGTGTAGACAAAACACGCAAAAAAAAATTACGATTGAACCTTGGAGAGCAAATCCCTTGGTCTACTTTATGATTAAAAAAGCGTGAGACTGAGGAACACATATAAGGGGAAAAACACAGACGGCCCCAAACATAGCTGGAGTTCTAGCCGAACTCACTTGCACCCGAGAGACCAAGCAGCCCTCTGACACCGTGCCCGGGTTGGACGGCGCGGCGTCAGGTCCACACCGACGACACAGCAGCTCCACCGCCCTCACGTTCTCAGGCGTCAAAAACACAATTGTTCTCTGTCCCTGAGAACAGCCCAACGCCCAACTTCCAAAAAGTCACTCACCTTCCGATTTTTTTGTAGCCCTGTTCGGAGAATAGTGGCGAGCCGGAGGGCTGTCAACCACCGGTCCTAAATCGAGACTCGCACTTGCTTGCTTGCACAGACTTGACAGGGGCTCATTCGTGTCCACTCGGTTTTGATCTTTAAATTTTAAAAGTGAAAATAACACTCGCGAAAAGAGAAAGCGAGCGCGGTAGCAGGATAACAGCAGAGACAGCGGCGGCGGCGGTACTGGCGGGCCGAAAAAGGCGCCATTGGCTAGAATAATTCTGCAGTTAATACATATGAAGCTTTTTCCTGATATTTTCAGATATTAGCTATTTATTTAGAGCAATTTCTTTTACAACTGAATATAAAATGTTGCTGAATTTAATTTGTTAGTAACTTTTTAATATCTAGGGTTTACGCGTTAACTTTTTATTCTTCTCATTTACTGCGGAGATGCACGCCTCAGAAGTCAGGGAAGTGCAGCTTCCAGTTTCCCCCTACCATCGCGACGACGCTAGCGACGCGGCGCGTTGCGGAAGAAGGGCAAACTAAGTACCGTGTTGGCGCGGCACTCGCAACAGATGGCGCGGTACTCGTCACAGATGGCGTACCCTCCCCTCCAAACACACACAACACACACAAAAACCGCCCCGTCAAAACGGTTCTCCCCTCTCCGTCTTCTTCTTTTTCTTTTTTTCTTTTTTTTTTCGTTTTTCCCGACCGGGCTGTTTTGGCGTACGCTTTGCGCGAAGGCACTGAGGCCAGATTCATAAAAAACCTCTTACCTACGACAACTTAGCTACGAAGTTCGTAAAGTTACGATCATCGTAAGATGAGGCGAGAACGGTATTCACAAACGCGTTCTTAAGTGAGAGGAGGAAAGTTACGACCTCTTACGGAGAAACGATGACTTCCGGTGCTGTTGCTATGGCAACGGCGTCTTCGGCAATATGGACAACCAATTAGAGAGCTAGGCATAGTTCGGAGCACGTGGATTTTTAATAACAAACACAGGCTAACCACTCGTTGATAGACAGCTCTGTGTATGTCCTGTCCTGTCTGTGTAAATGTGTAGTGTTCAAGCTGATTCTCATAAACGCCATGTTAATTTGATCGTAGAAAGTGCGTAAGACAGCTTCGGAGCTGTCGTAGGATTTTGTCGTAACCTGCGCAAAAGTTACGACAATTTCGTTTCGAGAATACGGATTTTCTCTCAAATTTGTCGTACGCATTTTTTTCGTCGTAAGTTCGCTTTGAGAATCCAGCCTCACTGAGCTTCCCCTCCCACTTGGGGGCTGCTTTGTGCAAAAAAGTAAGACACGGATTGTGCTTTTGTAGTGGAGCACTACCGCCACTGAAGCGGCGATACTAAAAATTGGAACCACCACAAAGTCGACGTTTCAAACGTGCTGCGCAGCACCGCTAATGAGATTTTCGTTTCCCATGCTGTGCAGCTTTTGAACACTGTAAGACTCTGCAGCATGTTCGTTTCTATTACCAGAAGTGAAAGAGAATACGTCACTTTCTCCCGGAATACCGCGATTCCGCCATGTAATCGCATAACGGTTAATAGTTGAGCTTGTTGGTACATACTTGTAAATATATCGGCTCGAACTTTAGAAATAACTAGAGCACAAAGACAGAAAGGACAGGATATGACACACAGCTGACCACCAACGATGTTTTAGTGTAAACTTCTTCCTTGCGCTTTTGCTCCTTCCTTTTGAGTCCCAAGTGGAGCGCGATAAACCTATTATATAAATTGCCCTATTCCACTATTAAAGATCACTTCCGATATTTACACTTATACAAAATTATATACAAATCATTTGCACAGTACTCCTAGGAAATTATTGTTTTTGAACTAACCCGCCAAATGCTTGTGCTGTTGTTCTTTGGGGCGTGACATTCCGTAGGTATTGTCTTTCTTTTTTGTGTATGGTGATTGATGGCGTGCTGACACAATCCTTGGCGTGCTCCTCGATGGCGAGCGCCTCGAGCATTTCGCGTGCATGAGGATTGTTGTTTCTATCAAGAATGGTGGTACTGTTCAAAGCTAGTGCCACTAAATAAGCTACGCTTCAGAGTAACGACACTTGGCCATATTGTGGCTTAAAATCATGGCTGCCAGTTATCTGAAGCTCTATCTGAAATCACAGGAAACGCTTTTCCGTCCTCCTCAAATGTTTAAACAGTTGACGACAGAGCAAGTCAATATTACAAGAGCTTCCTAACACCGAATATAATGCTGAGGAAGTCGAACTTCTGAATCAAGAGGATCGGCAGTTGCGTCTGCTCTGCACAAGCCCCAAAATGGCG